ATTAATTTTATAGGTTGGCCTCTTTGTAAAGCAGGGCTGCTTGAAAGGTGTAATAGAAATTGAACTGTAAGTAGTAAAATTATATTTTCTCATTCATTTTTAATTAGATTATTTCCCCACACAGTCATTCACAAAGTTGTGGAAAAAAATCTGGTGTGCAGAGGTCTGTCTGTAAGCTGGTGATTTACTTTGGTTTTGGTTTTTTTTATTTTTGGTTAACCAGACTTCAAGGTGTTAAGGTTAAATAATTATCACATAAGAAATAAGCAGTGATGACTGGTCTTGATTTTGCTTTTTGAAGCATTTCTCCTTATCTTGGTGTACAAACAATGTGCAGATAAAAATTGATGCATATGCCTTATTTAGCTTTTGATTATATTTAAAGTTCAAATGATTCAGATACAGTTAGTAGTGCCATCATGACTTAGTGGTTGGAAAATATTTTTAAAGAATAAAAGAAAAACAAAAACCTCAAACTCTTTAATTTTAAAACGAAATGTTTTGCCTTCGCTGTCTTATACTGATACTGCTGATATGAGGGGCTCCTTTACATTATTACTGAAACAAAATAGAAAAGGGAAAAGAAAAAGGTAAATCTGACTAATCTGGCTAATGCATTCTTCTAAGTAAGCTCTTACAAAACAGAGCAACTATAATAATTTGGACTTACTCTGTAAAATACCATCAGTAACTTGTGGTTACAGGACAATATTACGTGCTTCTTGTAAGTCTTCTGTTTTTTTGACAACTAAAGAGAGACTTACCTAATAGAGTTAGTAAATGAGTGCTTTTTTTGGTGACTATCTTAACATGAAGCTGTGATAGCACAGGTGGTTTTGATAAGGAGTTAATCTGATCTGTTTGCCTGAACTGAAGAGAACATAGAGAAGTCAACTGATTCAGAGCCTGAAATAATTTGTATAGCAATTGGCCTCCCTGATCAAATTGTATAAAAAGAAGGAACAGGTCTTTGAAAAAATCCTATCCACTTATGTTCTTTTGGGGGATACTTAAATGCAACATCTAGGGTGAGGGAGACCAAAGCTGCAGAATGTTGCTTTTTGACAGGAATTTTAAAATTTGAGTTCTGTAAGCACACACTATCTTGGTTTAATTTGGCCCTTGGATTGTAACTAAAGAGTTACTATAACTCAAGGGTTATAGTAGTAAAAAGTCATTAAGGTGTTAAAAAAAAACCAACATGACTTTGTAGGCCTTGTGAAGAAAGCCTGATATATTAAAATAAAGTAATAGATACTTGCAGGGAGAAGAATCACACAGTCTTCAAGAAGTGGGCTCATATCCTTATGACACTTTTTCCAAACACTGAAAGCTGTTGAATTACACACTTCTACTTTGATCTCTGTTCTTAAGACTCATAAGGTATACAGCTTCCAAACTGTTAAGAGCCCTTATCCTTCATCCTTAACAATAGGTTGACAGAACAGGCACTAGGCAATTTCTAAATCAAAATGGTGACCAAAGTTTCAAGAATTTATTCCTATCTCATTGCCTATTTATTATTCATACATCTTAACTAGACTAAATTTTTGAAGATAAGTGTTGAGCTGGAGAACTAACTAGACACCTGATGCATCTTTGTTGTTCTTTAAGGCTGAAAATATATACAAACTAGTATTTTTCATACTGTATGATACTATTTTTATTTTCAAATGGAATGTACATACACAGCTTAAAGATGCAGTTCATTACACTAATAATTTTTACTATAAAGGCATTGTGTTAATGTGCACTTTCTGCATACCAATTTTAAAACTTATTAAATGTCATATAAAAATTAGACTTATATAAACTGTTCATATCTGTAACAGCTTCTCAATGGCTCATACATTCGACGTGAGTATGTAATTCATATGAATAACTTCCTCTGAGTTAAGATTTGCAGATATTCTTGACATCTTTCACGGGAGGTTAATTCATTACTGAAGTACTGAATGCGTGCTGAAGCATAAAATGTGAATCTGCTGTTACTGTCTAGTTAATTTATATTAAATATTTAGATATCTAAAAGTTTTAATACCATAACTCTAACACACTTTGACACTTGGTAACCTTTGTGTATTCTCAAAAGTGTAATCACTTCTTTTTATTAATCAGGTCTAAGACACCTGACAATATAATTATTACACGTGAGATTCAAGCGGTGAGCAACACATCAACATGGTTTATCAACAAAAAGCCAGCAACCCTGAAAACAGTAGAAGAGCAGATTGCAGCCTTAAACATCCAAGTAGAAAATTTGTGCCAGTTTCTCCCTCAGGTATGAATGGATTTTGAAAAACAGCATATCCGTATGGAAAATTTTATAAGGTCTTGAGATCTAGCACTCTCTTTGTAACTTTAGCATCATTGTTCCTGTAGTTCTGCATCCTTGACTACCCCAGTCAATTGCTGCATGAACCTTTCCCTGATTATATGCAGTCAGTTCCTCAGGACTGAATCCTGTAATTGGTAAGTGAAGATGAAGAGTTGTTTGGATTTCTTTCTCAAAAATACAGAAAGCAGTCCTACTAGATAACTGAAGTTGCAACAGAGACAAGAGCCCTTTTGGTAATGTCTGTGAATCAACAGTTTCTTGAGCATAAAGTAAGACTTAAAGATATTTAGGATCAAATTATGTAAGAGTAAAATCATCCTCATGGAAAATAGCTCCTAAAGAAGAGAAAAGGTTAAAGAATACTGCAAGCAGTTTCCATATTTGAATCCATGCTCAGGCACATCGGGATTTCTGTGCAGATAACTAAGTTGCCTCACAATTGCATCTTAAAAAAAGTTACAACAGGTTCCTTCCTAAGACCTTCGCAGTTTGTGTGGATCATCAGGTATGGTAGTAAAAGCAAACCTTATCAGAGCCTAGCCAACCATGGGTCTATACTTCTGTTCAAGGAGAAGTGCATTCAAGAGGACATGCTGAAAAACATTAAAATTTTGAAGGCTTATATACTGTGGTCACAAGTATTCTGGTGGTGGCTTTTTTCATTTACATGTTTACAGTATTTATCGACAGTAAAACTTTCTGCATACTCTGCCAACATAACTTTTGTATTTACAACAGCTTGTTTTCTTTTGTGCATAAATAGTCAATTCAGTGAATATTACTGTGTTGAAAGTTTTGGTTTATTTGCTCTCTGCCACTGTAGCAATGGCCAACACACCTTTCACTCCAGTCTTGGTTTTGAGCTGTTCCTCTGCCTTGGACAGCAGCAGTGCTTCCTGGTAATATTAAGGCTGGCAGCTAAGGCTAACTTTTACATAGCCTCAGCAACCCGAGAATCAAAATGAAGAATACAGTGGAACAAAACCTTTAGTTGTCTGTACTAAACTGTCTTCTGCGGAAGAATGAGAGCCAATTCAAAAATAATGAACCAATCTGTGTTCTCAGCAGCTACCCTCAAAAGCTTCCAAAACAGCCAAGAACAGCTAAGCTTAAATTGTTCTAGAACAAATTAAAAGAAGTATGTATGAAATCTTAAAAATGTTTAGGAGGATTTGGTTGCTACTCTGAGATAGTCATGCTATCTTAGTTTAACTATGCCAGAGCTATCTAGCACAGAACTGTAGGTTAGGTCATATTCATGAGAATTAAGTTGTAGTATTTAAATCCAGTACTACTGTATTCCACTGTTGTAACTAATACTGTATTTTTGTAACTTTTTTTTATTTCATAGGACAGAGTTGGAGAATTTGCAAAACTGAGTAAGATCGAGTTGCTTGAAGCTACTGAAAAATCCATTGGTCCTCCAGAAATGTACCAATATCACTGTGAACTGAAAAACTTCAGAGAAAAGGAAAGAGAACTAGAGGTAAAAATGTGCATTATAGAGACAGCAGTGACTGCAGGGAAATTAACTTAATAAAATTTAACATGAGATCTTGTGGACCTAGAAGGTGGTATTTATTTATGGAGTCTGTGGTAAGTTGATTTTACCAAATCATGCTTGTATTCTCTCAGAGTTCATTCACTTTGACATTCACACGCTTGTAAGCATGAAGACACATGTGCCAGTGGTCTGAACACAGAGGACAAGGCATGCCTGTTGTCAAGTACTTACCACTTCTCTGGGATTCTTGACTGGCAGTCACTTTTCTGAACAGATCTTTTATGCCTTGTAGAAGTCATCAGCTGTTACAGGGCGGTCCTTTGCTTTAAAGGTCTTGCTGACGTCAACTTCCATAAATCATGGACAAGATTGTTGCCTGCTACCTGTTTTTCCTGGTTTGAAATATTAACAAAGAGGAAAAGGAAGAGTGTGTGCAATAAGCTGCAGCCTTGTTGCTATCCTGGTCCTAGGACACAGGATTGACAGTTACTTGTGCTGTGATCTTACTGAAGTGGAGGCTTAGTGATCTTTGCTGTAATAATGTGCTCCTTGCTGTTACTGCTGAGAATGGTGTCTTGGGAACTGTGTTCTGGGAACAGTGCCTCCATACAGGCCATTCTTTTAATCATTTGTTCCGCTTTGTTTTTAATCATTTCTTGTGCCTGTGCACGTCCTTGCATTTCCACTCGTACACACTACACACACACCAGCCTTACTGTTTCTCTTACAAATCACCACAAGATCTTTTGCGAGCATTTTTTCTGCTTGTATTTATAAAAAACAGTTATGGTGGTTTAGAAACATCTAGATCAATGGAGGCTTGAGCTCTAGGGAGTAACTTCCTGAGAAAATAATAATTAAAAAAAATCTTCAGGATAAGATTTCTGTTTAAATTAGGTTTGTTTTCACAGGAAGTATGTGGTAAAAGTACTTGAAAAAGCTGGGCAAATGTTTCTAGTTAAGTTGTTCCCCTCTAATTACTGCTGTACTAAAATGTCCTCTCAAATGTTAGCTGTACATTGAAGCAGAAATTTAAGATGTGGACTATTTTTGAAAAGTGTTCTCACAAAGTACGTACTGTAAAACGTGAAAATGTGTATTCTAACAGAACTTGTGCAGAGACAAAAGTAACTCTTTGGAGAAAATGAAACAGAGGGTTGAACGGTGCAAACAAGATGTTGAGAGGTACCATGAGTTCAAGCGCCATCTAGACTTAATTGAGATGCTTGACAGGAAAAGGCCTTGGGTGGTAAGTTTTTACTTTCTTTTTAATGTTTTTCTTACCTAACGCATTTTCCCTAGTACTGCAATATTGGAAATATGCCAAAAGTTTATTTAAAATAAATTTGACCAGAGAAACTTGAACATCATTACAATTACTACATGCAAACAGGCCAGGTCTTGAATTACTGCTCTTGTCCTAATTCTGATCTGATATTTGCTTGCATATGTAGCCAGACTAAAGAAGTTGCTTAAGTAATTACTGCCCATTTAGGAAAGCGAGCATTATGGGCCAAAAGCAGTATTCCTTGTGTTCCTTGCAGACTCAGCTGACTTAATTTAAGCTCTGCCTGACCACTTGCACTTCCTTCTTCCAGCTCTAACTCTTCTATGGAACATGTTTTGTTTGGCTTTTTTTTCAAACAGGTTGCATTCCTGTTTTGCTCATTTTAGTTTATGAGTTGAGATTTGGTGTGTATGACATAAATCATGGTGAATATATGTTACCAATCTCAAAGACACTGGCATTCTAAAATTTTGGAAAAATTTTAAGAGCCTAGTATCATGGACAGGTCATTTATACAAAGCAACGTAAGTCTTTCTGAACAGCACTTTGGTGGTTGTAGTTTAGTTTAATGTTGAATGGTCAATCAGATTAAATAATTAAGACTTTTAAGTTGATGTGGATTTTATTGTATTGAAGCAATACATTGTTTGCAAGCTTTATAGAATTCATGAAATACAGCTACAGAACTTAAAAAACTTAACGTGTGATAGTTGTGGAGGACAGGGATAATTTTTGAGGTATTTTGTTGCAATTTTGCAGATAACAAAGTCTCACATGGGTATACAAACAACTTTTATGTCTTGTATCTTGAAGAGTAACTGTAGTGCTACCAGCACAGAGGGATATAGGAGCAGCAACTGAAATAGATGGATGATTGTAGGTGCTGAGGATGTGAACTGTGCACTCGGTGCTGTTAGGACTGAACTTGTGCACTTGCTGAATGATGCAGACTTTTCGTACTATGTATGTAGTAGCCTGGCTTAGTTTAAATAAGAGAGTTACTAGAAGAGATGTAGGTCTTGCATAGTTAATGCAGTCTGATACTGATTGTTCTCTACTGTAAAATATGGATTCTGAAAGCTAGTTGAAAACTGGTGAGGGGAAACTAAGAATCTTATCTGCTGTCAGTTAAATTCCTTTCCATGGATTTTATAAGGTTGCTGTTAGCTATATGTTTCCTAAGCAAATTTAGATAGACTTCTTCATACCTTACTCTTTCACTGCTGTCTTCCAGACAGTTTGCGTTGCCGAGTGTATTAAATACTTTAGGTGGGTGCACTCAGGAGAAATATAGCTTTTAGCCACTGAATCCTTAGAAACAACTGTGTATTCTGACACCTGTGTAAAGTTCTGATTTGTAGTACAGAACCAGTAGTGTGTACTAGATCGCTTACCAGAAGCCACTTGCCTGTGAATGATGTACAGTTGAAATCAAGGGTCATCACTGTGATTGTCTTACTAGGTAGAAGATATTTGGCCTACATACTACAACCAAATGTCATCACATTCCATTGTGATCTTCAGTGTACAAAATTGTTGCTCTTTTGTGGTTTGTCAAATCCATCTGATAGATCTCGGTATTCTCCTCTATTGCAAAATATCAAGCTTTCCCTAAAATAGGAAATGGATTCTCCTACAAGGGCATATTTCTTTGTCATCTGACCTAGCACTGTTTGATCCTAAGAGTAAACATTTCTTGGTGTCTTAAAATTGGGTTCAGCAAAGTTGAGAGTAGCATGGGAGCTTATTCTTCCTTCTGTGGATCTTTCCCTGTCTTCCCTAAGAGATAAGTTTCTTCTTGCAGGCCAGACATACCTAGGTGTTTAGAATTGCCTCTGTAACAAAACAGAATAGCTCCCTCCAAATCAACCAGGAGGGAGATGTATGAACACAGCATTGTATAGTAAGAAGTAATAGAATACAGTAAGAAGACAGGCAACCTGAAAACAGGTCACCTGAAATATGACACTGGATTATCTCTTGATCTCAGTGGAAAGGAGGAGGTCTGCTGCTGAACTTGTCTTACTGTTTGACCATTGTAGAACTGTGGGGTTTTTTTCTGAAGGGTCCACTGCTTTTCAGCTGAGGAACACTTTCCTAGTCAAATGTTTTATCTAGTCAGCACTAGCTGCTTGTGTGTGTGGAGAATTAGACACCATTTTTCTACATGTCTGTTTCTAATAGGCTTTTGAGCATCCGCTTTAAATTCCATAAAATATACCTTAGGAATGCAGCATTAAAAGATTTGTACTCAAGGATTTAGGGAATGGTTTATGTTTTTGTGTGTATCTTAACTAGACTTCCGTCAAATGATTGTTGTCTACAATCAATAAGCAGATTTAAGGAGCTACCGGCTTTAATTTATTATTTTCTATATAGATAGCCCTTGTTTTGTAGGGTCTTAAAGAAAAGAGGTTTCTTACCTGTTCAGACTTTTATGCTTAAGGTAGTATAGTATACCATAAGATGTACTGTTTCAAGGTAGTATAGCAGCAAGAGGTGCTGTTACTCCTGCTGTAAATGTCCTTAAAACACATAATTCTAAAAATGTGTTTTGACCAAGCCATGTCCATTCTTCTTCTCCTCCTCTTCCATTCACAATTGAGACAAGTTGCTTACATAGTTTAGGTGCAAATATCTCTTGCAAGGACTGAAATCCTTTGGAAGTTCTGCAGATCTGTAGCTAAATGTGTAATTATGTGCATCAGGGTTATTTGATAAGGGTTACCAAAATACAGAAGTCTAGTGAAAGTCAGGTTTTCTTAAAGTGTTAAAGGGATTTGCTGTATAAAAACTATGTCATGACAATTTCTAGGGAAACTTGCCTGTGCTTTGCATCTGAAGTTACAAGGTGTAATTATATGTATGTACTTTTGTTTTAACCTTGAAAAGTACCGCCTTATTTGGAGCAGAGCTAGATTTTAAGCTTATTCTGTCATCTTAGTGGAAGTGTATTTGCTTTACGTCTGTAATTTCATAATGGTCGCTACTGATCCACCTCACAGAATTATAGCAGCAAGGTAATTGTAGACAAATTGGTCATTTTTTCTGTTGCTTGAATTCCGTATTGTTTAAGAACCATTAAATGCGTCTGCTTGTTCACTAGGGTCCAAATGGTCCCTAGATCTACTAGTTATAGTGACTAGTGACAGCAAAATTACTTTAGTGGCTCTAATACTAGTTTCTGAATGAGATTTTTCTCCTGAAACTCACATACAATTATATAAAATGCTAGAGTATAATGAAATACGGAAATAGAAAACAAAAGTCTTTAATTCTTTTACTTTCAACTCCTTCAAGGAATATGAAAGTGTTCGTCAGCAACATGAGAAAGTGAAAGAAAGCCGAGAGCAAGCCAAGAAAGAACTGAAGAATCTGAAAGAAATACAAGCCCCAATGACAAAAAAAATCCAAGAAGTTGAAGAACATCTTAAGAGCCTGGATATGAAAATCAGAGACAAGGTAGGTATTTTAAGTTTTCAGGTAGTGTATGTCATATTTCAGGTGTTCTGTGTTCAGCTTTGTACAGTGTAAAGCAATAACCTCTTTCTATCTAGTGTGTCATAATGATATGTTTCAGCAGAAATTTTTCTGAAGTACTCATGTCCTTGGTTCTCACTGCCTTCTCCATACCGCTGTTCCATTAAAAGCAGTAAAACTTGAGGAATGCATTTCATAGTAAACCTTCAGTAGCAATTCTGAAGGTCCACTCTCTTGGTGTCATAAGAGCAGGAACCTTCAGAATCTTCATGGATATAGTGCTACAGTTTCCTTAAGTTAGATACTTACATTGAATTAGTCATCAGTTTTCATCTGTTCTGTAGTTTACATTTGTGAATGCTCTGTTTCTTCTTAAACTGTAGCCAGTTTGGGTAGTTATCTTAAGCTAATTTACAAGTTTTATGGCCTAGAATCATTCCTCTAATATCTAACCGCATTCCATAAGCGGAGGGTTTTTTTATTATTAGACAGTAATCCTCCATTATTTGTGAATACTTTTATGCATAAGAGAATTTAATGGTAGACCTACCTATGCCTCACAGCTTACTGTCTATTTTTTGAATAGCTCTCTCTCTGGGAATATGGAAAATTGCTATTTCTGTATGACAAATAGGAAAGTATTGTAAGTCTCTGCAGGATTTTAACTACCGTGAACTATTCAGACTGCACAAAATTTTAATGGATAACCAAAGTTAAATTAGAATCTTTTTGGGTGTGCTTGGGATTTTTTGTTTGTTTGTTTTGTTGTTTAAGTGTACTTCCTTAAGAGGAATGTTAACAGCTGAAAGCTTGAAATTAATTTTCATAATGCAGTAAGGGCCTTCACACTTGTGAAGTGCTAAACTTTGTTTTCACTGCTTGGCATTATCCTGCTAGGTTTTAGTTTTCATAGTTTTCATTTTTACTTAGTGTTATACTAATACAGTTTTTCAAACAGGGAAGAATTCTACTGAACCATTGCTACTCTAATTTGTAGAAGTATTGGGGTGTGTGTGTATGTGTGTATATACACATATATGTATATATACATGT